AAGGGGTAGATGTTGGGAAAGAAGCTGTCACCATCACCAGGAACTCCTCAGTCCAGGTTGGAGGTTCCCCAGAGCTGGGCTATGTCACAGAAAGAAGGAAAAAGAAGGTAGCAGTCTTTGAGTCCTAGGCAACAAAGATCCAATCCAAGGTCAGATCAAGATTATTTGTATGTTTTATGTAGCCATATATAAATTATATAGATTAAAAGCAAAATAAGCTTTGAATAAAAAGCCGAGTACTATTGATTGATCAAGGAAATGGCATCTAGCAAGATATATAAATTTTGACATGCTATTCAAAGTGAGATCCGCTTTTCAACCCTCAAAGACATCTGGATGCCCACATACAACAGTAGCACAGCAGAACAGCCAGCATCTCAGAAAGTCACCCATGGATTTGGTTGTCTAATTTCAAGCACTCGTGCTTTGTATTTCTCCCTACTTAAGTTTGATTGCCTTTCCCTGATTTAGACCAGAAATGAATTAAGCAAGTGACTGATTGTGTTGTATCCATCAGATAGCAACCATATGATCAATGCTTAGTACAGCTTGCATAACACATGGGAATGTTCCTGTCAGCAGCAGCATTTTACTAACAAGACTTTTGCTTTTCCTTTTCTGCTAATATTTTAGCTCTTGGATTCTTTCCTCTGTCTCAGACAGCATGTTGCATTTCCATGCTAATTAAGTTACAATCAATCACAATATCCAAAAATATCCCCTTTGAAATACCAACATTTCTCATTATATACAATGGAAGCAATTTTTACAGCAAATTATTCAGTTCCCTGAATTTTTTGATTTTTTAAATGGAATGGAGGTTTAACCTTGCTTGAAGGCTGGACTGTGAGAGTCTTGGCCACTCTGTTGAATTTCTTACTTAAATGGGAAGTCGCACTAAAGTCATTGGGGGCAAAGTAATGAAGATAGTTTTCCCCAGAATGTAAGATTACACCAAGATATAGTTCATAATTTAGTGATAAGCATTTTAGTGGCAAATTATGCCTCTTCTTCATACTACATTCAAAGGAATTCTACTTTCTTCTTCTGGACCTTAGTGAAGATGTGTAAGTGGACTACTGGTTATGTGAAGTCTAGATTTAATTAAGGGGCTCACGTAACCCCTAAGTTTATGCTCTTCTCCAGGTGTCTGTGAGCTGACAATACCTCTTGGTTTATGTCAGTCCAAAAGCAATTTAGAAAACTATTGGCCAGGTGCATTCACTATTAGGGGTAATTAGAGTTGTGCAACTGCAACATTTGTCTTTCCAGGTACCTGAAGCATGATACAATGCATGTTCAGCCATGCAGGACCTGGATTTCCCAGCACACCTTTAACCACTTGTTGCAAAGGATCCCATCAGTACATATCTTCAAGTATTTAATGTCCAGTTTTTCTAAACATGTATGCTATGACAAGATCTATGCATTTATGACCAAAGTCTGAAGCAGTGTGGCAAACTTCATCCTGACTCAGTGTAAGAATTGCATTGTGTTTGCAGTTTACTTAATGAAGGCCTTAATACTAGTGTCTGTATGTGTAATTACAAGTGCCTGAAAGTGTGATTCACTTAAAATGTGTAACTGTTAAGATAAGAACATAAGAAGGAATTCTCTCAGGAACAGCAGTGTATATGCAAAAATCAAGCAGATCAACATGATAAAGATGCTCTAAGGTGGAGATAACGCTTGATGTTTGTGTACAGTTTGCCTAATATATGACAAAGAAAATAATTTTTTTGATATTTCTAACATCGCTATGCTGCTTTCATCAGTTGCCCATCACCTTTTTTAGAAGCTGTGGGATTTGTGTTCTTTTTCTCCCTTAAGACTGGATTTGTAGTAGGAAAAGTTTGTGCCTAATTTTGGGCTGATTGAAATCACAAACTCTAAAGAATTGTGTTGCTTCACAGATGCTGAACTGGGCAAATTTTACTTTGTTATGTAGAATTGTTACTCTATTTGACTGTATAACTAAAGGACTTGAAAAACAGAAGTTTCTTAGGGGCCACCAATAAATGGCTTTAATTATCACTAGTTAAACTATCAGTATAGGAGTGGTCCTCTGTTGGTGCACATAATTTAGGGGGAAAAATAAACAACTCCTGAAATGTAGAAGCTAATATAACAACAACAACATAAGAAAAAAAAAAAGGAAAGAAAGAAAAAAGAAAGAGAATTCTATGCTCAGAGAGCCTTGAGGTTAAATAGTTACTCAAAAGGAAAAGCGTTCTGGTTCCTTTACATCAGAAGACTACATAAAAACAGTTTAAAGCCTGAAGCCATGATTCTTCTCCTGTTTGACAACTCACATTATTCTACATTAAGCCTAGGAGAATATGTTCTACCCATATGCACCATATTTCTTATGACCCTTTATGCTCATAAGAGTTTTCATTCTGTAAAAGCCATTAGCATTGAGGTTGGCACAGCATGCTGCACTTGGGCTGCAAGTTGACTGGGGCTAGGAGGATGGTCTTAGTTATTTTTATTTATTTTTTAATGCATTTTGTCTGAGATTGTCAAAGGAGAACAGGAATTTGGACTATTCATTTGATTCAAAACATGCAGATAATTTTTAATATCACACCCTTCACTCTTTTTATTTAGTATGGCAATCTAACTAGACAGCTATGACGTAAATGAGCTACAAGGTAGAGTAATGAGCAAAAAGCAAGATCTGTGTTTTCAAAAGTGACTGTTAATTTGAGTACTATAATCTTTGGCACATAAATTTGAAGAACATGAACAGAATCTTGAATGCATTCATTTGTCCAAGCAGTCCAGATAGTGCCAAACCACTGCACTCAAAACTATTAAGAGGGATTTTTAAGAAAAGAATGGACAAACAGCTCTCAAAACCGTACAGGACAGCTTAGAGGAAATGTGTTTACACACACCCATCTGTCAGTTAGGAAGAGACAAAAGCGATACATAGAATTGTACTGCATAGGTACCTCTCCCAGGCACTCATGGAAATGAGCGGTGGTCAGATTTCACAGAAGATGCCCTTTCCAGAATGATTTCAGTTGGGCCCTTTGCAAACATTGTGAGGACTTTACACTTCAATGGCCTGCCTCAGAACAGGGTTTTTATGTGTATATGTTCATCTTAGAAACTGCATTGTCTCAGTTTGAAAAGATAGATTTTGCTGTGTTTAGCAAGGTTCCTTTTTATCCTAAAACCTTGCAGATTTGACATCTTGAAAAAAGAACAGTTCTATCTTCACATATGCAAACATAGACCTGCCAGTAAAGTAGTATGTCACAGTCCTCCTTCTGTCATAGAGCCTGCAGAAGTCCTGACGGTCCTCCACCTGCTGTATTTTTCCAGCTCCAACATTTCCTCAGCCTGGCAGGAACCAAAGAAGCTGTGCCATCAGGATACATACTAGAGGATATAAGCAGAGAACACCAAGAACAGACCAAGTGCACCAAGATACCTATCTTTAGTACCACTTAATACTGCAGGAGGCTTGCAGGACAGACGTATCCTTCCAAGCTGCGAGTGAAGCCAGTGTGGGAAAAGCAATGGAGTTACGGTAAGACTTGCAATATCCATCTAGCTGGAATTCCCATCTCTTACTGGTCCTTTCTTCTTAAATATACATAATTTTTTTTAAACGGTGATCAAATTCATGTTGCACAAAGTAGTGTTTAATATCAGAGCTCTACTTCTTGCTGTGTTTTCAGAGGTGCTAGGAGAAAATAGAGGCCTGCACAAGCTGTGCAGTTCTTTAGTCAAATTAAAGGATTCTGCCATCCTTCTGGCTAGTACTGAGCTGTTTCCTGAATACCTGAATCTTAGGTGTAATCATAGCTGTTACTTCCACCACTGTTGTCTCTCAAGTATTTGATTACACAAGTCTAGGTTGGAATATTCTCTGATTTCTATCAAGGATGCCATAGTCTAGGTATGGGTTAGGTGGGTAAGTATTATAGCAAATAAACTATCATAATTATGAAATGCTTGTTTCAAATACAGTGGTACTGAGACAGAATTACAGTTCTTTCAGGTGGCTGGTTTGAATGAGATGAGCAATCAGGTGCCAGCAAGCCAAAGTTAAAATAATATTATCAGAGGTCATGCTTCAAAGACACTAATTAAGTCTTGAGAATTAAAGTATTATGCCATGCTAAGAAATCCCTAGCCAGCTCACTATTCAAGGTAGGAAATTACTTAAATCATCATTGTTTAGGATTAAGGAGTTCTTGATTATTAATTATGAAATTCAGAATTTTTATGCCTAAGATACTCTCAGGTGACAAAGCATGATGCTGACTGCCCTAAGCAGCAGTAAGTCATGTTACATAGCACTGATTTCTGCGGAGTAGACAGATGTTCAGGCTTGACTGAAGGAAATCTCAGAAGATGACACAGTGATCAATAATAAAACGGTTGTTTCTACTCTCAGTCTCCACTTTGGAACTACATAACCAATCTGTGCTTTGATACCGTATTTCCAAACAGAGGAACACCAAAAAATCCCAGAGGGAATGCAGGCTCCAGATAAACTTCTCTGGTATAGAATGGCAATGTGCAGTACTGTAAAGAAAAGTAGAAGTCATACTAGAAACAGACATAGAAAATTGTTTGTGGCAAAGAGGATGAACATCATCTAATAAGGCATTAGATGTTCCTCTTCTTTTTCTTTGTTCTCACTCACTTTTTACATGAACTATTCTTAAATGGTCCTGTGTTCACCTTTTCTCACCTGAAACTGGTGTGATCAGGTGCTCATCACTAAGCTGTTGATTGCTGAGGTATTATTGGTTTTTTTTCATGTGGTATGGGTATTAGGAAAATAGCTGGCATTGTTCCTCTTAACCAACTACAACCCTAGTTGTAGAAAGTTTCTCCCTCCAGCCTCCATTGTTCACTTCTTCAGGCTTGACTCAACAGACTGAAGAATGACTTCTTTTTCCAATACAGTCTCTCATTATTTTATTTTTTTAATTTCTCTTTCTGTCTTGTTTTTCTTCTATCCTCTCATAGGTTTGACCTGACTGTGAGGCTGAAGAGCCACATGGTGGTTTGTGCTGGAACAGCACAGTGCATTCATACATCTTTGTCCATACAAACTAGCTTGCTCCTTAGAGAAATTTTCATTACTGTAATGATCTGCAGGGGGTGGAAGGGTTAGAGATCTTTGCATTGTATTTTGTACATTGTCTCTTCAGAGTGCTTTTTAAAATTAGCAATCACATTTTTTCATCAGAAAGGAATTACATACAGCAAGCTGCTAATCAGGTTCCTCAAGTCAGAAGAAATCAAGGAGAAAGTGCTTTAATTAAACACACAAAGACTCTGGAAGGGAGGAGCTGAAGTGAAAAAATTTTGTCCCAGAAAAGAACACAGGGATGGTTCCAAACAGGAGAAATCAACACATAAATGTGCAAATTAATTCTTAGATTTCCTCAGATCAGCCACTAATCTCAGCTGGCTTGAGAAAGTCCCAGAAACTGTGACACTAAAATAGAATGACAGCCAAGATGAAGAAGAGAACTAGCAGACACATTATGATATCCTGAAACATGATATCAGTACTGCCACATAGTTCACACAGCCACAGAAAAATCTACAGCAATGAGTACACCATCACTGGCCTGCTTCCAGGAAGGAAATACTTTTTCTGAGTCATTGCCCACAATGACACTGGGAACACTGACCCTTTGGATTCCAAGAAGCTGTGGTACATCTCCAAAGATAAAGGTAAGCAAAAAAATTCACGTTAGCGCTGAGGAAAAAGAGTGCTTTTGTACACAAGACTGCAGACTAAGGTCAGGCTTCCTCTGTGGCTTTGAGCATATCACTAACATGTTCTGCACCTCAGCTCCCCACCTAGGCAATGAGCACAATAATTCCTTTGTTGCTGTTCCATCTAATCTATTTGATAGCAATTTTCTCAGCTCCAAGCTGCCTTCAACAATATGCACGTGTAGGACGTTATGTAGTAGGTTCTACAGATGTTGGTTAGAATTTAAAATAGTAGAGCCTGTCCGAGGCTCATAGCTTATCATGTCATGATGAAACAGACAACTGGCTTTACAAATCATTGTCTGGTAGTGTCTTTCCCATCCAACTGGGATTTGTTTTCTAAATGAGAAGGATTCATTCAGAAAAAACAATCTGTCATGTTTAGGAGATTGCATGACAGTCTTGTTGGGAAAGAAACAATAGAAGTCCCTGGAAGTACATTAGGTGTGCTTTTAGCACACCCATGGGTACTGTGTCAGGTAAATGTGTTTTCCTTTGTTCAGTTCTCTGCTCAGGCCTCATCAGTAATAAGGATGTCTCATTAGCAGTAGTCCCAGGCAAAACTGAACAGGCCCCAGTTCATGAAATCAAAACAATAAATGATCTTTCTGCCTGGGCTGGGGGAAAGCAGAATATAGGTACTTGGATTTGTGAGATTCAAGCCCAATTTTTCAGTCTGGCTTATCAATACATATATTTTGTTTATTATTAAAACAGAAATATAAAACAAGGAAACCATATATTAATATATATTACCAGGCTATGCATATATTTCTTCAGAAGCTATCCACATGCTTCTACTGGTCTTCTAATTCCATCAAGAGCAGTGGGAATTACATTAAAGTAATAGAATAAGTAATACACTAAAATAAGTAATTGGGTATCAGATTGCTTTGTTTTTATTTAATGATCAGCCTTTCTTGATCCATGTCACTAAACCATAGGTATGTTTCTTCTGTTATATGTGCTCCTGAGAAGGAGCATATCCAGTTTGGTGGTTGTAGTCATTTTCTTGTGCAGAAGTGCTGAGGCCTGGGTCTTGTTCTAGGCCTGAACAACTTAAGAAACTTGTGCGTATGTAACCAAGCATAAAGGGTAGTAAATGGAGGTTGTGTCTTAGGGTACATTCCCTTGGTAACAACCTGCTTGTCTTCAGGCAAGACAGCAGGACACAAGCAGATGTAAACTGATTTCCTATTCTTCATCCTAAATGGCAAACCATTGGGTTTATTTGCAGAAGCTTGAGACATGGTAGAAAAATCTCTGAGGAATAAGGAAGAAATAGAGTTGTTTCCCTAGAATGGGATCTAGTAGAATTTTATCCTACAGTGCTATATTTAGGATCCAGGGAACTTACCTGACGGGACCTCATTCTAATGCAAAAGAAGATAATAATGACTTCAGAAAATGTGTTTAGATACAGGCTGAAAATAGAAGATCTACAATGGACACTGGAAATTAAATTGCATATGCAGTTCCCCATGATTCCCCCTAGAGCATTCTGTTGACTATTAATGCCTCAGAGCAATATCCCTTCCTTTCCAAGATCACCTGGTTTGGTTTATAATTGGGTGTAATTTAATCATGCATTTCTAAAGCACCATGGGAGCCAAATATCCCAAAGCACTTTACAACTTAATGGCATTAACAAGAGAAAGCATCAATATATCCCCATGGAGCAAAATCCTGATACCTTATTTACAGACTGAGAAGCACAAAAATTAATTGCTTGCCTACAATTGCATATCGGCTTGATGGGAGACTGAGGTTTCTGAGTCTTCCTTCTCTTGTTTTTCATTTTGTATTTGTTTACATGGAGAATAGATACACTGGTCCAGTGCTGAGGGTAATGTAGTGTATTGCTCATTCTTCCTCCCTGAGTGGGGAAAGAAGACCCAGGGCATGAACTGTCATATCCAAGCTCTTTGGATTTGCACATACGCAGGAGAAGACTCCCTGTCTTGATGGTGCTGGCTATATGTGTGTATATGTTTGCATATCTGCGTGCAACAGACAATGCAGTATAGAGCAGCCCACAGCATCTCTATTTCCTTAGCATGGTGTTTTGATCTCAAGATGAAGGAGTGTCCCAGCAAGGACTAGCATTGTGCTTCTCACCAACAAACCGTAACATGAGTCACAGCAATGACTGCATCATGAACTTCCACTAAAACCTCCGTGTGGGAGTTACCCCATACAAGGGCAATATTAATATCACATGCAAGTTCAAGTTGTGGTTTAGCTGTGGCAACAAGTGGCATCTGCCTGCTTACGATCCTAACAACCTACAGCTGTAAGATGACCACAAGTTAGTCAGGTCCACAGCTGCTGTGCTTCAGATTGTGTAACTAACAGTAGATTTTATGTATCTGAGTACAGTTTTGCTATTTTTCAAGGCAAATGTTCTTACTGTGACTCGCAGTGTGGATCACACTTCTTTGGATCATTTTGGTTCTTTTGCCTGCACATAAAGGAAGCAGTTGCCCAGTTCTGCAGATAAAGGTCCAAGGACCACAGTGTTTCTAAGAACTTATCTTCAGATCCAAAAAGCAGCCTGTCTCTGGCATTGTCTTCCTCTGAAATCATTAAGATTTGCTTTCAGTTGTTTGAAAACAGTATTAGATTCCTTAAAATGGCATATTTGGGCTAGCAGTCTCATAAATACCCCCAGGTGACTCAAAAGCAAATATGGCCTTTTCTCAGTCCCTAACCAGGCCTATCCTACACGTTTCCAAGCAGTCCAAGCTCTGACAACAGCTTTCTGATTTTTTCACAAATACTAAAGACTGCCCTGGTTAAATCTTCTCATCCTCTGTGAAATGCCAGGATTTTACCAACATTTGCCAACATTTATACCAGTAAAAGTTTCCGAGGCAAAAAGTTAATTAAATAAATAAGTTAAAACACTGATATCCTCCCTTCTCTTCCCTGCTTTTCTTCATACCAGAAATTCCCACCCCGTGAGCTTTAAGTCAGGTTGTAACACAGCAGCAGTGTTCCAGTTAGCTCAGGCTGGTCACGTGCAACTGAACATTTACAGGTGCGTGGGGTGATGTTTTACTAATAGTAATGCACAAGCCACACATAGTTTTCCCATGTCATGACTGCTCAAACTTGCAGCTTGCAGACTGTTCTTAGTATAGCCATGCCTGGAAACTACTGTGTCCTTTGAGTTTCAGCAGCCCCTATTATGCTCACCCAACTTATGATTAATCAGGGATCAAGGTTAAATATTGGAGAGCAAGAAATCTCCATCCTTTTGTCTGACATGAAACTTTTTCCCCCAATTTCCTTTCTAGAGAAAAGGCCCTTGTGCCTCTGGATCTGTTGTTATTCTTTACAGGGAATAAGAGAGAGACATTGCCAGACACAGCTTGAAATGAAACTGATACAGCACCAATAATGATGAGCTATATTTGGAAAGATCTTTGAGAGTTATTTTTGTCTGTGATCATTGCTTCTGGACTGCCTGCTGGCAAGTGCTGAGGCCCACTCTGGAGGGTTCCATCTCTCTGCCAGTGGGGAAGTAGCTCAGTGTGGGTCAGTGGAGGGAAAGGATGCGTGCATGCTGTGTTCCCTGCTCTGATTTTCAAGCACTCATTTGTCTTTTTGTGTAGGATATATATGACACTTTTTTCACTGAAGTCACTATGCACCTATAACACCAAAAGTAGTTCTTTGCTCTTTTTTAGAATGCTCTGTTATTACTGGGTCTTATGCTTCCCAGGTTCACTGATGCACTGCTCCCTTAAGCCACAGCTTCAAACCACCATCCTACAGATGGAGGACAGTTTCCTAGTTCCCAATAGCAGTGGAATCTCTCCATGGTCTGGCGTCACTATCAGCCAAGCTGATGCAAGGAGAACTTTGGCAGAGCTGTTCACCGGTGCTAAGGAAAGACGGGTAGACTCGAGGGGCAGAACAGCTTTCTATACCTTTGGAGATCTGATTGCTGGAAAGGACAAACCTTCTGCTTTCCCACACAAACCTTGTTGTGGTAAAAAGCTGTTACAATAGGAACACGCCTCTTCAAAGCTATGCAAAGCAACCTGTTTGTAAGCAGAGGTAGCTATGGAGGAAGGCTTGCAAAAGCACTGTGTGGGTGAGGTGCTAATTTATATTTGGATTTTTAAATGGCCCTTTGGGTGGGGGTGGGGGGTAGGAAAGCTGATATATCAGATGCTGTAATATCTTATTTCCAGGACCTCCTGAGACTACTCCTTGTCCTCCTTGACTTACCTGGGCAGACCCTTGGGAGAGTCTCTGACCCGCTAGGGATTTTGCAGCTGAGTGAGGTGGGGAGAGCAGATGTCAGAATAAGAAATAATGGACTGAAAAGCTGTCTTTAGAAGAGGAGGATTTCGCTTAAAATTTAACTTAATTGTAGGCTTATTTTAGAACTGCAGGACTATATTCTTACTGATTTTCTGGAAGAGTGGTAGTTACTGCCTGGGGCTGGCTGTTATCAGCTGGAGGACAGCATTACTTGCTGTGGGTACTTTAGCTGTGAAAGCACTTTGTTAGACTGGGAGCTCCTTCAGACCATGAGGGCATTTTTTAAGGGTTTCAATAGTATTTATGTATTGACAGGTGGCCCAAAAGTTAAGGGAGTAAGGAATGATCTAAGAGATGTGCAAATGGGTTCCAAACACCTGTGCTGGAATCTCTGCTACTGATTTCTCTGCTGATTCCACAGGAGCTAAACCTCTATTTGTCTCCTCTCTTTTGTAGACTTTTCCATCTCTCTTCTTTACAGAGCTTGCATTCTTCTGCTTAGTCGTATTTTCAGTTTTAGCCTTTTTCACAGTATTTGCAGAAACAGTGCATTGATCCACCTCTGTGACATAGAGCAGTAGCATCTTACAGCTCTGAAGGGGTGAATCTCATTTTCTGTGGCACAGTGCTAAGGTCACAATGCCTATTAGACAAAGTGACTTTTTCAGAATGGTGTTGAACTGAACAAAGGGAAATGAGAATGAAAATGAGATTTCCCAGAACTTGAAGTATCACTTCCTATGAAAGTTGTAATCAGTTGTTTTTGAAAGTTGTTACCAGTTGTTTAGGAAAGCTTTTAAATAGTTCAGTGAAGCCACATCGCTAGTGCTTTGTGAGACTTCAAAATCTAGGGTTGGTTGCAGTGATTGCAGCACTTCTCATTTTCTCTTTTCTTAAGAAAAACCCTCTTGGACACAGTGACAGAAAGTTTGCAGAAGTCTAAACGCAGGATGTAATTAGTAGAACCTGCTCTACTTGGTCCAACATGCAGAACATGTTCCTGTGGCTGCATCATTTGTTTTTGCTTGTGTGGCTCAAAATGCACGTGTGCTTGGCTTCTGTAATGGTCAGTTAAACTAAGTGGTAGAAAGTGGGGCTCCTAATCAACAGGGCCAATTCTGATGTTTCTGTATTTCCTCCCTCTAACGTGGTTTCAGGCAGAACACTAAAGATGACATTTCTAATACATTTCTGCTAATGAATCTTAACAGTAATAAAAGGTGCCAAATACTGCTGTTTTCCCTTCTACTTATCAGTTTGCTTCACTGGTCAATGAGAATTTTGCTTCTGAGTTCAGGAGGAGAGCTGGATTCTGTCTCCTTGTTTGCCATGTCCCCAGATAGCTCAGCAGGACCTCTGTGATGATGAAAGCGTCATTATGTCAGGCTGTGTATAAACATACCATAAGTCATAAATCTGAAGTACTTAAGACCTTGAAATTCCATAAAAAAGTAAACACAGTCTGCAGCTTTGCAAGTCACCATGTGAAAGAGCTGGTTGCATAAGGCAAACCCAAGATCCAGAATGGTCCAGTAACATCATTGCTGGTGGGTAGGACTAAGGAATTAGAACATGTCTGAAGCACTGAAGGACTGACATAGTCAGATAAATTTATATATATATTACTGTTGGTTCTTTTAGTTTATAGTGATTTTTTCCTGGAGCTTTTCTGATGTAAAAGCTTAATGTGGCCAGCCACACACACATGCTTAGTCCAAGAATACTTTGCCACCTTTGTTTCAACAAGGAAGGAAGTGTGCGGGTACAGAATGCTCCTCCCATGGAGCTTCTAAGTTTTTGAAACGAATTGTAAGAGACAAAGAAGTAGGAAAGAAACACCTGATTTCCCTCGCTTCCCTTCGGGCTGCTTTGAAACTTGGTAGTGGTTCTGCCTAGTATGATTCATTCTCACATCAGGAATCACTGCACTGAAAAGGGCACAGTGGAAGGATCTATGTTAAGCCTGCGAGCAGATCCATTTAATGGACTGGGAGCACTTGCTCTGCATTTCTATGCTATAGATCCTTGAAACCTGTTCCACTGGTGACAGATGGCCTGGTTCAGGATTAATGAAACCAAACATCTGTGCCACTGCATCAAATACAGCTGAGGAAACTGGCAGATTGGCAGATCCTCAATCAGAGAAAGATGTCCATACTAACGTGTTTCTCCCCTGGAAATTTCTGCTTAGGAGAGGAGAAAAAAGAGAATTGGCCATTTGTGTGGGACTTCTGGGTAACCATGGTGAGCAAATTTCTCAGATAATCATTTGGAACAAGCTGCCTTCTCCCTGCAAGTGTGGACAAATGACCACTGTAAGTGGGACTGGCTGTTGCAGCAAGGAGCCAGTGTCCTTCGGGGCTTTGCACCCCAGGACACTTGGGACGTGTTGTAACACCAGCCAGTTGCCATCAGCACAGTGGTGCCTCATTCATTTGTGCTGGATGTGCTCTGTGGGGTGCCTGTGGGTGTGTTTCAGGGGTTCTCCAGATGGGAATACTATATCTGGCTGCGACAGCGCCTTTCTGCTTCAGTGCAGCTCTGGGTCGCTTCAGGGCAGAGCCACACCACCGAGGGCAGAAGTGGTACAGCACTGCCTGCTACAGAGCTTCAGTAGGCTGCTGTCACAGAAACAGAAAATGAGCAAAGAGACGTTACATCTGCACAGTAAATATACCCAGTAAATTAATATTTTTAATTGTTGTTACACACAGAAGAAATGAGAAAAAAAAAATACATTCCAAACAAAGAATTAAAACAGTAAAATCAGCATAAAAATATGTTAAGAAAAGATCCCAGATCAAATAGCCGCACTGTTTGTGGTGACCTTCACAATCATGGTAGAGGAAGTAAGTGCTGGAGACTTTCACACATGGCAAAATGCTGACTCCTTGGGGAGAGCAGCTGCTTCGGTCACATCTTTCAGCACACTCTGTCTGGAACGCATGGGAGAGGGGCTGGAGTAAGAGGCTTACATGGTACAAGACATGGACTTAGTATTCAGGACAGACCAGTCACTCCTGTGGTCTCAGTAAGGCAGAACTACTGCTTACCCACTGGCATCTGTGTTCTTGTTTTGGTTTCTGGTTTGTTTGTTGTTGTTGTTTTGTTGTTGTTGTTATTGGTTGATTGGGTTGGTTCCTTTGTTTTCAAATTTATTCTTTTTTAATAGTTCCTGCTGGTCTGGCCCTGCCCACACAGTAGGCCTGGAGCAAGACGTCCCTGCTGAATTGGGAACAAGGTTTGGTCCAGCAGAAGCCTAGAAGAGTGATGGCTAAGTCCATGTGCTCATACTGACTTGGTGCTCTCATGCAATGGGCTGGATTTGATTTCTTGATTTTTGGCTGTCAGGAAAAGATTTCTTCTATTTCCTGATGTTGTCTGTCCCCAAATGGGACCAGTCATTGCTCCCACTGCAATCTTGGCAGCTTGGTCCCTGCATTGCTCTGACATGAGACTGACTGTGGGAGTCTGCAGCGGCCCTTGTGCTTCAGCCTTCCTTTTGAGCCTCATACCACTCCAGTGGCTCATCCTACAGCAGCATAGTGTCACCACAAAAAACAGTACAAGCCACAGAAATTTTGGCATTCCTGCCAACTGGCCACCTTTTTAAATTTGTGATCTATCTAGAGTCATATATTTTTATTTTTTACAATAAGAGCAAAAATAAAATAATATTAAGAAAATTTCCTCCAAACTAAGAAAACTAAAATCCATCATACACTGTAAAGAAACAATGAAAATTTGCATTGTGTTTGCTTCTGAGTTCATATTAAGATAACATTTTACTGCAGCTGCTTCAAAATTATGGTCCATTTCACATGTACACAGTTCACATTCCTTGGTAACATCTCACTTCCATTTGTGTTATACAGCAACTAGTGCTACCAGAACCAAGTCATTTCTAGCTGTAGTCCAGATCTGAATCCAGTGAACTGTGGCATTTTTTATAGTCACTGAGTATATGGTGATGGTTTAGAGCTGTATTTCTAGATGTATTTTTGTTCTGGGCCCTCGGACTGATGGTACAAGTACTTCCTTCACTATAGAACCTGCTACGGCTTTGTTTCAGGTTAGAAGGAAATAATTCAAGGAGGATGTGTCGACCTTATTGATTCTGTCAAGGCCTTCCCTCTCTGCTGATATTAAAGCCAGTAAACTTAGAATCACGGAATTAAACATCCCTTTTTAAGTTGTCTCTTGAAACCTAGCTGACCTTCTGCAGGATGAATGTTGAACAGAATGACTTCGTTTTCTGTTCCAATCTTTTCAACAACCATTGCAGTCTGTAAGAGCACTGTGTTTTGGCTGGATTAGATTCATTCTATCTAACAGACAGGGTTGAGACTGGACTGCAAAATTTGGATGCACAGTTCACATCTAAGAATTTGGTTGAGGCTTTTAGATAAACTAAAATCCATTTGCAAAACTGAGATTAGAGTTCAGGCTTTTAAGCTAAAACCTCCACAGAGTTCAGTGTAGCTGAGCCTATCCTGTTTGACAGTATGAATAAATATGTTTCATCTGCTTTCAGTCTAATGCAAATCAAAAAGGCAGTAACACATTCCATGCTTCTGCAGATGCCTAGAAGTATTTTTATCACTACAGTACATTAATATTTGAGACATATAGCACTTTACGTCTTCTGAGTGCTGTATAAGCATTAATCCTTACAGCATCTTTGTGAGGTAGGTAAGTGCTAATACCACAATTTTCAAAATGGGATGAGAACAGACACACAGGTCCCAGTCCTGGCTGTTGCAACCTGGCAGAGCGCTGGCCCTCCTACACTCATGCCTACTTACATCAGATGAGGATCTGGCTGCAAAAAAACCTGTGACTTACGCAAGGCCACAAAAGGAGCAAACATGGATAAAAGGCAGGAGAAGTACCTGGGAGGAACATGGTTATGCTGCTGTTAAGTAAAAGAGTCCATTTGTCCATACAGAACCCAAGCAGTGAGAACAAGGCACCTGCCACTAAGCTTTGCACTTGCTGTTTGCATTGATCTGCTTCTTCCAGACCAGCTCCCAACATTAGCATGGCAGTAAGATGAAAACTTATAGGTGTCAGTGTCAAACTATGGCACAAAAGAATTTGGAAGAATCACTAAATAGAATCTGCAAAGTTTGTCTCGGGAGGTCTAAATACGTATATAGAAATAAATCTATTATCTGCTTGATTACAGTATGAAAGTTTCAGCAATATATTTAAAAGCCGTGTTAGAGTCATTCTTAAAACAATCAGTCTTATAGTTGCCTCAGTATGAAGGAGTAAGAAGCCAAGTATTAAGCATGAATATGTAGGCAGCAGAGGAGTAAAGCTGTTTATATCCTCTGGCTTTGTTCTTCTCAACCTGCCATTTCTAAATTAGCTTCACCCTATTGACGTCAGTGTAACTTTCACAGCCCAATACGTTATTAGCATTTAAAACCCCATTCCAATAGGAATGCTTCTTCAGCTTCAGTGGGAGTTCTGTGTGAGCAAGGACAAAGGAGGATCTACGACCAGGAAGAAAAGTTCAGCTGAAATGTATTTTCCATATATCTAATTAAAGACCTAAGGATAACTATGATCTAATATAAGAGAACAAGAGTAATTGTAGCATGTGCATAGCCTCAAGCGACCTTAGATGGGAACTGCAGAGGAACCTTTGAGAACAGCACTGTAAAGAAACACCTCTGAACTTAAGCCCTGGAGCTGATAGTATTGGGGCCACCAGGCATGCTGCACCACTGGGGTGCTTCACTCCCTCTGTAGTGTCCCTGAGCTGAAGAGTGGGTGTTTCTTAAACACTGCACTCCTGATAAAAAGAATGGCTCAATACAATTTTACAATGCAAAGAGACAACAAGAAGACACACAAATGACTGGCAGCGTCATAGACAATCACGTGCTTCCCACTTTCTATTTGCTCCCTTTCATAATGAAGACTGCCCTTGCTTGGGTTAAGAGAAGAGTTTTAATCCAAAGAAAAGGTATTTAGCAGAGTGCAAGCAATTGTATAGTGTTTCTCAGGGTTTCAGAAACTCTGAAAACTGCGTCAAGTAAGTGTCCTCATCAGGTGGGCCTTTCCTAGCAGGAAGGACACCTTCCAGGAAAATGGTCTCATTCAAGTAATAAGGATGAAAAGTAGAGAATGCAAAGCAGGAGAGAGATTTTGGGGATTAAGAGCCTTTGCTGACTCTTAGTCAAGCAGGACTCTTCTGGACTTTGTAAGCTGAGGGCTCTACCTCATGTTCCTGGGCAAGCCAATGCTGATGCTTCAATGGCTGCATCCCAGCCAGCCACTGACGGTAAAGGGACAACAGCCCACTTGGGTGACACGTGTTTTTGCCATCCTAATTAAAGCCATCCACAGACCTGTGTATCCAGAAACTGCACTTCTGATAGCCAGAGAAGAGAGAGCAAGTCTCCAATTTACACTTAAAAGGTCATTTTTTCAAGTGTACAGTTCCTGAAAGTAGAGCAGGATGGCAAAGAAAGCCAAGAAGAAGAAGCATGCAGAAATGCAAATCAGCTGTCTTCAGTGAATTGAAGATTGCTCATTTCTAAAGTGAAAGAAAGAGATAATGGTTCGAATTGAAATTCTAACTTTTAAATCAAAGAATCACAGAATGGCTGAGGTTGGAAGAGACCACTTGAGGTCATCTGGGAAGCTTAGGGTGCAGGGAGTTTCTCTGAAGAACTGCCAGAATAAGGATTGAGTGTACTGAGCTGACCCAGACTGAAACATGCTCTTATGTGCTGGGAGAATGGTGGGGTTCACCCCAAACACTTACATTTCCTCTTAGCTGGGTCAGTCTTTTGCAGAAAGAGATTTGCAAGCAGTTAAGCCTAGTAACAGCAGCTGACATCTGCAAAGAGCTACACTGCAGGGTTCAAGCTGCGGCCAGGAGATAAGCAATGCTGATGAATGAAGATGTTTTATGGTTCTAAATTCCCTTAACAGTTTACTCCAGGCAGACCCCAGCACACTGGTGAATGAATACTGACAGTATTACACAACAGTATTAAAGGGAAGAGATTAAACCAGACTGTGCTATTTAGAATTCTTTCCCTCTCAACAACGCAGCTGACCTTTCTGATCTCTCTGAAAAGCAGTAGATGATTCCATGGGGTCAGGATGGTTAACCTAGATTTTTGTAATACTGGTCACATTGGCGCTGATGCTGATCCACCATGTGGGGAGCCAACGCCTGTTCTATGCCCAGTCCCAACACAGAAGGCTGGAGAGGAACAGGAGAGCCACTTAACACCTCTCAGCACCAACAGAAAAGCTAAGGATGTTTCCTCAGCTGCCCCTGACCCCAGCTGCCTTCCTTGGAAAGAGGAATTCCTGCTCTGTTGATGGTGCCAGGGACTCAGTGCCAGGCTTTCGCCTGGAATGGTCTGAGCATGCGAGGTATGGTGACCATGGTGGTTTTCAACCCACGAGGACAATCTGGAAGGCTGCCCCTCCTGTTAACTCTGCCATACAATAGTATGCAAGGGTTTATTAGGACTTGCGTAGATTTGGGTCATCCCTTTTTGGCCACAGATCTAAGATGTGCAGGAACCCTTAGAAAGTTCCTTTGCACCTGGATGAGCTTGCTGTGTCTTTAAAACAACTAGGAGAGCATCTCTGCCCATAGTAACAACCTTAGGATGGACAGAGGGAAAGAGCACATTAGAGAGAGATTGAAATGGAAATGTAGCTTGCTGTCACATGTCCTAAATAAGAAGAGAAAATATACACATAATCACAAATCAGTCTGGTATTAAAAAAACAAACAAACAAAAAAAAACAGGGCAACATCTTTCTCATCTTTTTAAGAGAGTGAAGTCAGAAGTAATCTTGCTTCAGCAGATGGGCAGAAAAACCAAGTAAAGAATTTGGGTCAGAATTAAACAGGCTTTCCTACATTCTCACTGTGAGTTCAAGAAGGAAGCGGCAGGCACTTTGAACACAGAGAACTGTGCTTTTCAGGATGTTCTGCTGAAAAGGGGTTTCCAAACACAAGTGCTGCAAAGCTGAACATCTGCCACCAGCTGGCAAAACACGACAACAGTCAAAATCAGGGCCCTGACTAACCAGTTCAGACATGGGAAATGCTCACACATTCAGAAAAGGTGCTGCAAGCAGCAGGACAGTAAAGTTTCATGAGTATATGGAATGTTATTTGTTAGAATACTGAGAAAGAAAGGTGTAAATGTTAGATTCCTATCTGCCGTACCACAGACAAATAGGACACACATTAGTAACATACACCCTCCAACTCCTGCTACAGAAACCAAAGATCCTCGTGTGCCCATGCTGTCACTGGTGGCTGCTGACACTGTGTGATTGTACACTTGTAGCAGAAGAGAATGCACTGGATTCTACCTGGATGACCCTAAAAGCCCACCAAGCTACGTGGCAATGCTGGCAGGTGTCCATAGACCTGCTCTAGAGCTTTGATCAGCAGCTATCAAGGCACACAGCACTTCATCTCTGTGTACCTCATCTGGGCTCTCTGCTCAGTGTTTGACTCTCATTTGGGTTCTGCTAGGGGCTGCCCAACATGCTGCTGTTGACTCCAAAGCTCAGTCCTCATCTGAGTGTGATGTTTTTACTATAGCTACAGGCTTCCTTTCAGCAGAGGCTCAAATAGCTCCAGTTTGTGTATTGAATTTGTAATGCACAAGAACAGGCTAACTTAAACTTAAACTCATTTTTACCTATGGCTTTAGCAGAGGTCTGTGCCTGTCTGCCTACTATTGAAAGCGAGTCTCCTAGCACAGTGTGTGGCCAAACTTGTCCACTGGGCCCCCTATTCCCAAACATTCAGCATCAGTTTCAAGACTAACAAATAAAGTGCAGTAGTACAGCACTTCCAAGGTGGAAAAATTGAATGAGTAGCTACTGCAGGGACAATCTTAAGCTTTCCGACATGGACTCCACACTGAAGTAAGCTATATTCAGAGAAAGCCATTGAAAATAAAGCCCTAAGGGTAATGCTTCAAAGAAGCAAAATCAACATCACCAATATGCCTAGAGAAATGGAGATCTCTCTCAGGGGTGAATGCAGCTACAGCACCTGAGATATAACCCACATTGTTCGCAGACTGTCGGCACTCCACCTAGCTCCTCTTTTTGAAGTCCTCTTCATCTCTGCTCTCTACAGCTGACAGTGCAATAAGCATTTGAGCTGCATAGTAAGTAGCCATGATGATAACACGCGAGTAGGGTACGGGAAAGCAGAACTTGTTAACTGCGATGGTCAGATCTGACACCATGAAAAGCATTGCTCCAATGCAGGCCGAGAGCTTGGTCCACGTCCAGAGGTCATTGCACAGCTGCATGCCAGCGACCGCTCGCCAGCCCATGAAGCCAATCAAGGCGATGTAGACAGCTACCAGGTAGGTGAATGGGCCCGAGAGGTAGGAGTACAGGAAGGCATAACAGGAACTGGAAATGAGGCCCATCATCAAGCCGGCTTTCAGGTCCAAAGGCTTCATGCCAAAGGCTGAGGAGTACAGGATGTGTGTGATGGCGAACATCAGCAGACCTGGAAAGAGGCATTGACAGTGACTGGCAGTCAGTAGCAAAAGAAAACATGGATACATTGGATTTGAAACATACAGAAGCTACTCCAGGTATAGATGTCCTTGTTGTGTTACAACCCTCATTTGATTTAATCAGGCACCCCACTGAGCACTTGGGACCACTTCTTTAATATAAAAAAGTTTGCACAGGAGATCAACTTTAGCACAAGGTTCCTGCCCTAAGAAAGAGTCTCAGTACTTCTACAGCTGCAGCTGAGTACAACTCTTGTGATGCACAACTTTTTGCCAAGAGGGCAGGTGAGCCAAGCTGCTGCAGAAAGAACAAAGCCTGTTTCTCAGATGATTCCTTCACTGCTTTGGAGAGAAAGGTGGGGGCAAGGCAGAGCAAAGATAATCCCCTCTCATTATCATTTGAACCATTTCACTCCTACAGGAATGTTGGAATCAGAGCCATATCAGAACAAAATGTGATAAGATAGTGATCCTTGTAAATCTAGATAGAAAATCTAACCATAGTTAGCCCCAAACCCAAAAGAACTCAGGGACTGCATCTGGCTTTTACTCCATTTCTGCTCATAGCTAGGAGAAACCTAAGCTGAAAGTAGCAGCTGACGTATTTCAGGGACTACACCAATCAGATCTGCCAACAATGTTATGGCTATTTGCAAGATTCATATGAACCTTAGCTGGAATCAATCAGTGAAAATAAAATGCTGGCTTCCCTTTGAAGTGCAACACGCCTGAGAAATCCCAGATGGAAGGTACTGCCCTTGTGTTAATCACTTACCACTAACCCATTTGACAAAAAATGTCACCATGTTTTGGTACAGCTGCTGACTTGCACATAGTAGGCCCCAAACCCATGTTCAGTGCAGCTAAAGGCTGTTCTACTTTACCTGGACAGGGTTAATTACAGTGCCTGAATGTTTTCATGCAGCTCTAATGTACAGAATGGAGAAAATGATCTGGGAAGCTAAGTCCTCCAGCATGACACCTGTTTGCGTTTTAAAGCCCAGTGCTGTGGTACTAAGGGTAACTGCTAAATCCTGCTGCTGGCAGACATCTCCTCATCCCAGTACTCTCCGAGGCAGATAAAAGGAGAAGCATCTCCCAGCCTTTGGGATCAACATCCACTCAGCCATCGTGGGATGAGAGGAGAACCCACATGAGGGAGAGCGCTAGTGGGGATTTAGTCTGAATGGGGAGGAAATGGACAGTGGGAAGGAGATGGAATTGCAAAGAAGGGCAACAAGAAGTTGATATTTCACAGGTTTCATGAGCACAGCACTGAGAGAGAAGGGATTTAGAATGAGAAATGTTTATAATGCAGGGAAGGTTAGAGCCATGGAGTGGTCAGGAGGGGAAGGTTACTTCGTCCTACTATGAGGAGAGATTTCTCCTTCAGTGGCATTGTGTGGAAAGTGCTGGAATGGGGAACTGAAGAATGAATTGTCCTTCATGTAGGCACCCAGCAGCAAGGCAGAGGAGAGGAGGATAAGATACAGCAGCCAAGCAGAAGCCCAGAAAGGCAGGAGGAGTTCTGTGATATATGGTGAGGTCACAAGAGAGTCAGCTCTGAGGTTTGCTCATTCAGCACCCACAAATAAAGCCAAGAACCAGGGAAACCTGTCAGAGATGTGCAGGGAGCAGGGTGCAATTTTCCTGCATTTCTCAGCCTCTGGCTCAGCCCTCCAATTACACCAGGCAGATCAGCCTTCTCTATCTATCTGCTTCCTTCCTCTCCCTGCCTTATTCTAGGCCAGTTAGATGGAATCAGGGAGCCCAGGTTTCCTTCCCACTTCCCCTGCCCTGGAGTTTCTGCCAGCTCAGGCTGGCAGTAAGTCCTTTATGTTAGCCCCCATCTTCTTTAGTGTGCGTAATTGTTTCTATGCTCCCATTATCAAAGGACATGGGTGTTAACACTGTAAAGTATCTTCCACGTGCAGGAAGACACTAGTCAGAAAATAGCTTGCTATTAGTAGACCGAAACAGCAAAAATGAAAAGTGAAGTGTGCCAGGAGTAGGTTCCCAGGCTCTCACCTCCCTGTAAAATAATGAACAAATGTCTTTTTATAAACTCATTGTCTCAAAAGCTATTCAACTCAACTCAGATCTCAACCTTTTTTTCTGTCTGAAAACCATTGAAATTGAAGAGAAAGTACATTATTCTCTAGTAATTCCTTTTATTCCTCTCATATTTGAAATTCCCACAAGGAATGATGTCAAAAGTTTGAATGTTGTCAGTTGTCAACAACAGCAGCTTGCTGTGTTTAGGAGAAAATACGTTCTGCAGGAAAGGTGACAGGATAAGTGGGGTGGTGCGCTTTATTTGCTGACAGCTGAAATGCAAATGTTAACACTTCACTACAGAAGGCAGTAGCTCATATTAGTACAGACTGAGGCAGACAAGAGAAAGCCAAGGATCCAGGCTGAGGTTCTTAAACTGCTCCAAGAGAGCTAAGCAAGCATTCTCCTTAAGTCAAGAAGAAAAATTAGTCAAAACCCACAAACTGGGGTAAAAATTCCAGCTGATTTGCAGATTAAAACACTTAATACTGAATTGCTGTGACAGGTTGACCTTCCTCTATCATTAAATCAAAGAAGTGACTCAGATATCCCAACTACGTGGGAATGGGGAACTTATGCACAGTCCATGCACAAAAACGGTCACGGTGAGAATCGGCTCTTGAATGTTTTCCAAGCCACAGCTCAAGAAGAAATGACAGGAGACAAAACAGAAGCATGGGCAGCTGGGCCAGGATGACTTGTGCCGAGCCATGCATTCCTGTTAAGAGGAGGCCAGTCAGTGGGAATGCCAACACTCAGCACAGAGCGGATGGCAACTCAAGAGATAGTTGGAGCTTCTTAGCAACATGCCCACAGTTCAGCCAAACAGATCCAGTCCCCAGGGCCTAATCTACACCCCACCAAAATCTTTAGAGTTTTTACAGGAAATTTTAATAAGATTTGGATAAACCCTTGGGAAGCAGGATTAAAACCAGATTTAAAGCGTTTGGCTTTTCATATCTAGCAATTCACATACTTTCCTCTCATAAAGAAAGCAGAGCTTGTGGGAATTCCAGAATAAAACTAAATACTGACTTCATACAAGGAGTAAAAAATAAGCCTTTGACGTTCACAGAAGTCAGAAAAGTTCCCCCATCTCATCACGTTTTCCAGTGGGACAGTCACAGCAGCCAGCTAATGGTGGGTGTTAAATGAGATCCCTCTGCTGGTGAAGTTGACTTCACAAACGCCACCAATGCAGTGAAGGGAAGGACTTAACTGCTGCTGATTTCTTATGACAGTCTAAGGCCATGTTGAGTGTTGCTGCAGGCAGACTCAATGTGGCTTTAGATCATTAATCTAAGCCATTATCTTCTAGTTTGCAAAACAGTGAAATAAAATAAGCTTGTTTTGCTCTGAGACATGTAGATCTTTCTGTAGAGATGACAGGGTGTCATGGTAGGGTTTGCCCTTGATTCCCCATAATTTACATGTCTTGCAAAACCAGCTCCCATGTTTTTACAACAGGCTGCATGATTCATGCTGATGAACCTGGAAGTAGGACAAGATTTCTGATGATTTGCTTTCTGACATCCATTTAAACACCTCCCCCTGGCTGTGGGCTTGTCTTCTGCAACTTAAGGATCCTCTCTACCTTCTCTCCACTGAGGGTCTTGGCACTGTGTGTCTTACTTCTGCATCCTTGCAGAGGAGGACTGACAGATCTCCCTGCAGAGAGATAGGAGGCAGATACATCCTGCAGCTTCATGGGAGATGCTGAGTGCTGTGAGTTTCCTCCACTTCCTGGGACATTCTGCCCATCCCACTTTCCCAGCTCCAGCCAGATGAGACACTGCAAACACGTGCCATTAAGACCAAACCTGTCTTAATGACCTCTCTGACTTCAGGAGACCTCAAGAGAAGCTCAGGAGTCTCATGCATGATGTGACTCCTCTAACTGGAATGGATCTTAGTCTAGGGATGACTGTCTCACACTACAAGGCACTTAGGCTGTACATAAATAAACAAAATGTGTGGCAAGCAACTCACTACTAAATAAACAGAATAACAGCTGGGCACTGTGGTAACCCCTCAGGACTCACACCATACTCACCATGAATGAAGTAGCCCTGCTCCTGCCAGATGAGAAAAGCATCTCCCACTGCTGAGAATATCAGTCCTGCTAGGATGCGGCTGGCGCTCCGGTGTGCCACTAAAAAGTTAATCCCATGAGCCAGCAGGAAAACCCACAGGCAGAAGATGGGCAAACATTTGATGAGGGCACTGAACCAGGAAGGGCTGGAAGTTGGCAGCCAGAGGACAAAATAGACACAAGTTGCTTTAAAGAAGGGCACAAGTTTGGGGCCTTCACTCTTCACCTAAAGAAACAAACATTGAAAAAAGATAAATTAACAGGACCATCAGAAGCATCAATGGACTAACCTGCAACCGTCTCCTCTGCTCTGAAAGCTTTTCTTCCTTAGACAGTCAGCTAGCAGCATTTCTACCCCAGAAAAAGGCTGCTTGAACTTAATCATCATCTTCAACCTAGATCTTTGTAAAGCTCCTCGGAAAACACTTCTTGGCTGCCAGAAAGGAGATGGAGGGAATTTTAGTTACTTTTTATCAATTCTATTTAAAACATTTGTCAAACCCATTCGTGGTCTTCATACCTCACTTGTGTTTAGGCTAACCTCTTTTATACATAGCTTTTCCTGTACCTGAGAATATCCTGCACTCCTCAGGAGTACCACAGCAGCAAGCAAGACAACAAAAGCACTAATCTTCCCTCCAAGGTTGGTATATCCTCTTGTTTAGCCAGTTGCAGATCATCTTGAGGATATAAACTCTCTTCTAACCCATTCTCTCTCCTGCCTGTAGGCTCATGCCTGGAGCTTGCTATCACCACATGACTTCAAAACCCATCACATCAGCCTCCAAGGTGAGAATATCACTTCCTTAGCTGACTAATATAACAGCATTAACCACATGTTGCTTTGTTCCAGCATTACACTAATAATACACTGTCCATATTGCAGGAAATGCTTTGACTCAGGGGTCTGTTGCGTAAGTACAGACAGAAAAATGCAGCATGAGCACTGAGCTATTCACAACAAAGCCACAGCAGAGATGGGATAGAGAGCTATATAGTCTGCAGGCTGGGCCTGCTCTTACCATGCACTCGTCTGGGACCATTCTGAACAGCTATAAGATATATATTGTGTTCAGAGTCCCTCCTGTGGCATTTCTGCATTTCAGTGCAGGTGTGGACAAGCTCAGGTGAAAAACAAAGCTACTATTTCATTTTCTCCTGTGGCTAATGGTTAAAGCAAGGAGCAAAGGAAGAGACAGTGACTGTCTGGTGCACCTACAGTGCTGATGAGCTGTGTCGAGGGAAGTCTGCAACTAAGGCAGTGCAAACCCCAGAGAACCTCTTCAAGCACACTCAATCTTCTCATTTCTTTAGTCAAGCAAAATTTAGCCACTTAGTATCACAGCAGCTTCCCACTACTCACAGCCAAAAGGCATGAAGGCCTTATACAGTGAAAGAGGACATGGGGAAAAATTTAGAGGGATCAGTGCTGAGTTCACACTGCAAAAGTCCATTGAAGACTGAACATCCACGTGTGCAATGCTGCAGTTGCTTATTTCAAGCAAGGACCCCATGCTCCAGAAACGTGAAAACGAATTGCTGGTCTATTTTTTTTTTCCAAATCACCTGGCCTTACTTCTGCTTCCTGTACCATGGAACATCCTTGCTGTGACACAAAAACAATGCTCATCTTCCTTCAATGAAGCATGTTTTGGTGCAGACACCTGGAATGGCTGGAGGCCGTAGAGCAAATATCTACACGCTTACAGTGCTTGGTTAATAAAGCATACACTCATCAAAATTCAGGAGGTTTTACAGCCATAAGCAAAAGGAATAGAGTGAAATTGGAAGACAGACAGAAGCAGTGGAGGGCATCTTTACATATGGTATCTAAAAGGGAATGCAATCTCCCTTTAGTCTTATAGCAAGACTGTAAGTAAAGGGCATCCCAAGAAGACAGAGCTTTCAAAATCATTCTCACATCCGATGGAAAGTTCCCCAGCATATCAGCAGTTTCTTAACAGTGGGGTATTTCATTGTTCCTGCATACATTATTCATAGGCTATTGCCAACACAATTTTTAAACGCTCCATTAAACAACCAGGCTACACAATTCACTCACAAAAGGACATCAGAAAGCCGCTAAGTTTCTTGTATTACATCGTGAGTCCTCTACTTACGTTGTCTACATTAGTCACCATTTACCTCCCCTTGTCTGGATTTCTTGGAAGAACTGTGGCAGCGATAACTGAACTAGAAATAAAAGTCACAAAATCCCACATAGTCCCACAGCACTGAGTGCACTAGGAACTAGTGAGTTACATGGGGGGGAGTGGAGCCACACTTCCTCCTCCTCTTCTGAAGTGATGCATCACATTGTCCTCAGCCACCTCCAAAGCTGCTGCCTGGCTCCAGCTCTGTCCTCTCCCCTTCTGTAAAACTCTCTTGTTAAAAACACAGTTGATCACATTCTCTCTCTCACAATTGCAGAGATGGTAGCACCTCTGGCAGGATCCCCACTACACCAAAAGAGCTTGAGACCTTCAGGATGGACAACTAACTGCTTCCAAAGATAGAAAGGATTTGCAGCATCCACAGTGCTGCAGGTTCCTGCAACAGTCTCAGCTAAGGTAAGTAATATCTTCTATCTATGAAGATAGAAGTCTGTGCTGAAAGGTGTCATTCAAGTTCAGCCTTGTTTGCAAATCACAGCGGCACCTTAGAAGCATACAGGAGAATATTTGGGTTAATAAACACAAGAAGTTTCATTTAATACCCCATCTTATAATAAAAACACCTGCAGTTTGAGCAGTTAACATTACAATCAGAGCTTGCCCTCCCCTGTGTGCACACATGATGAGACAGGTTTTAATTACATTTGTCATTTTCCCCAGGAACCTTGCCTTACTGAATGTGAGATATGCAGTTGTGCAGAAAGATTATGTTTGCTTGGTAACCTTGAAATTATCATTTTCTATTATCTGAATTTGAATTTTCCAAGCCCAACCAGCATTATTTTAAAATAATTGTTTGCACTATTTCCACCCTAGGAACAACTGAGGAATTCTTCAGGCATAAGGGGTGAGATTCCAGTCTCAGTTTCTCACCCGTAACTCTGAAATTTAGGAGTTAGAGTCCTCACATAAGAAAAACCTCATAGACCTAGAAGGTTTCTCATCATTAACTCTTTATTCCCTTGCACCTTTTCTACAACTATACTTCAAATGAGTTATTTCAAAACATGCTCTTGCCTATCACTCTGTGCTATGGCTCAGCTGAGCTCCTATGCTGGCTCTGACCAAAAGGAGTGCTCCATGAGGGACACTTCACAGAGACAGAGGTTCCCACATAGCTGAGATCCGGGCACTCATCCTGCTGGGATGGTGTGGCACCAGATGTGTTTGGGAGAAACACTGCAAGAAAAGCTAAAGCAACAGAAAGATGATGCTGGGGGATTTCCCTCTGTTTGGACAGGTGGCTAGGACCTAGGTAGAGGAGGTGGGACAACTTGCCAACCAGAGGACAAGTCAATGGCTGGTATTGGGAAACTGTGTACCAACATGACTGGAGGCTGTGGCTTGAGGAAAGCCAAGCACATAATCCATGACTGAACTTGCCTGTACCTTAGGGAAGAAAATATTGCTTGGCTGGATGGGTAAATTGCATCAAACCAACCATCTCCTTTGCACTTGTGTCTCAAAGACAGAACTTGAGATGTGGCTGTGCCATAGCATTGGAAAATGAAATATTTGCTGCAGGTGACAAGATCTTCTTTGTTAATGTATGATTTTTTTATGGCTTTAAGCTGGGTTTTGCCATTTTATGAAGATGCCTATTGAATTTTACTCTCACTTCTTTTCTTTTTCCACTGCTCATTCACTCTAGCTGACACACAGTACAGAAAACATCTTGAACATATTACAAAACGTTTGCAAGCTCAGAATTTTAAACTGAGCATAATTCAGGGCATTTTTTCATCTCCTATGTTTATCAAGTCAGGTAGAGTCTTTAAATAATAGTTCAAGTCGCTGTAAAGACACAGCACGTATTGTCTGTTCCACAATGTCTGTATCTGTGGAATTCCAATGGAAATATGCGTATTTATTAAATTATCTGCATTTAGACAGAGCCAATGAAAACCTCCAGAGCTTAGAGAGACCATGGGGAAGTTGTGTCCTGGCTCTCACTGAGAGATGTACACCCATGACCTTTACACAGAACCTGGTGCTGACACACAGAGCTCCTTGGAGGCTCATAGCTTGGATATCCACCTCCCTGCTAGGGATTCATAGGTGTACAGTATTCCTTGTTGTTTTGTCTGTTCTTGTTCTGCTCCAGCTTGGAATATTGCTCATTTCCTTGTTGTTGTTGTTCAGTAGTGACAGATGATGCTATTACACAAGTACTCCAACCATGCTGTGGTTTGGTATTGGTGTAAAACTTCTTGAGAGGTTAGGCTTGCCCATGAGGAAACACAGCTATGGAAGAAGAAGTAATGCAGGGCAGTGAAGACCTGGAAAAGGTACCGAATGAACAAAATATATGCAGGGCCTAGCATTCAGAAATAACCAAAAGCTTCATACAACAGCCCCTAAGCTATATTCTCAAATTAGTTATTGATGACTAGCCAAGAGCCCAGAGGTCTCTAATGACCCCGGGAAGCAACGTGGGATATCAAGTACTGTTTTTCTTTTCACAAGTCCCCTAAATCAGCCCACACAGAAAATGAGCATGCAACTTCATCTGCACAACAGCTGTGTGCCAGCTTGTTGTGGGGCTATGGTTCACACCCATCAGGTTGTAAAATGCTGTTTTCCATGAGAAGTGTTTTAAAAATAAAACCCCAGCTATTCCACTGAGCAACACTTGAGCATAACTGTGCACGCTGGCCAAAAAAAGCTGGGCTGCCGTCCTCCACCCATCCCTCCTGTCAGCCTTGGCTGCCTGAGTACAGTTTTGTGTATCAGTGGCTCAGCTCTTTCTCCTGGCTTTTAGCATCATTCATTGTGAATCCTACCTTGGTTCTGCCTTACTACGACAATAGCTCCCACCCAAGCTGTGCACCAATAAGTATTTGTGTGGCTTTCTTGCCACATATCATGATGCCACTGCTCGTTTTTCTTATTACCTAGCAAATATGGCTCTTTTCAAGGCACTGAAAATCTTCTGCTGTTCAAGCCATGGAGGGATGGACCACTTCAGACCTGCTTCAGCCTGGAGATGGACCACAGTTAGGACATGCAAGAGACTGTCCTTTGTGGAGCAACTGGGAACCAACATGATTCT